TTATAACCCAATATACTATAGTAGTTTCCATTTTCTTTTCCATTATCCCTATATAACCCCAATATACTATAGTAGTTTCCATCTTCTTTTCCATTATCCCCATATAGCCCCAATATTTTCCATTAGTCCCTAAGCTACCCCTTGATTGCAGCAGGATTGGCCTTGCCGGAGGTGCTGAGCCAAGTGAGGAAGGCAACCGAGCGTCCAAGCCTCAGTAGTTTTTGGGTTTAGGGTCTAGGGTTTAGGGTTTAGGGTCCAAGCCTCAGTAGTTTTTGGGACTAGGGTCTAAGGCATAGCTGTAGAGGGATGTGTCGTTATATAAGGGCTTGACGCGAGATATGGGGGGTACGCAAGGATATAAGACAAGTACATCGAGTTTTCAGTGGAGACTTAGGAGGTCTGAAGCTTAGACTAGGTTTCGCAGGGTTTGGTCTTCAAGGGCTGGGTTGAATTGTTGTTGCTTTTGTTTTGTTAGGGCCTCATGTTCTTAAAATTATGTTTCCCTTCGGGGCGTTTGTCTTTATGGGTGTAGTTTCTGGGGTGACCCTAGTTTGAGACATCTGGAGACATGACAAAGTTGTGGAACATGCTCAACATCCATGTGAAGCTGTCATGTCAACAACTAACAATGGTGCTGGTGAAAATGAGGGTTCAAATGTTCAGTCGTTCCAGTTATTCACCTATGAAAAAGATAATTTTCACAGTGCCAATGGACCATGAAGAGTCGCACAGTAGGAAAAGCATGGAGCAAAAACAACAGCACAACAGGATCGGGGAGTAATTAGCAGTAGTTCTGGTATGCCCTCCCCAAGTACCATGCCCTTGACCCCCCCCGTTTTTTTGTCTGAAAGTTGTGATGCGAAACACCCTAAAGCCTGAACTCAATCCTCGCCACGTCGGCACATCAATGCTCAGTCCCAAACCTCGTGTAGGGTTTAGGGGGTTTCCAGCAGTAGGGTGCCCAAGTATATAAGCATCCCAACATACGATAACACTCATTATAGGAATCCCCAAGAGGGACTCCCAATTTTTTGGAAACCCCTTTCGTGAAGGGCGAGGAACAGCATGGCATTCCTGGGTTTGGGCATCATGAACCGGGTGCAGACGGAGAAGGCTCGCATAGTGTGATGTTAGAATGCGTGACTGCTGTACAATGTGTAGAAGAATGCGACTCATTTTAATTAGCTGTTAGGCGGGGGACCACTCCCCCCCAAAAAAATCGTGTGCATTTTATTTTCAATTTGGTTCTCCAGTTGACTCTCCATTACCTATCAAATACACACGCAAAATCCTAATGAGAAAATGGTGCCACATATTGCAGAGGCTGCTCAATGGGATGCAATGGATTTGAAGCCTCTATCCCAATTTAGGGTTTAGGGTTTAGGGTTTAGGGTTTAGGGTTTAGGGGGAATCCCAATAATGGAGGCTCAAATGTGCCATTGTCTAAACTCCTAGTATCCCCCTTAATAAGCCCCTATAGCAGTTCCCTATAGAATCCCCTATATAACCCCTTTTAAGGAGTTTAGACTATAGCTCAAATGAAGAAATAGAAGTTGACGGGGGAACTGGGATTGATTGGGGGTTGGCAATGCTGCTGCTGTTTGTGGAAATGTAAGCAGATACGATGCGAAGTGTTGGTGAAACTGTTCAAGACAACCTTGGGCTTTATCAGTGGAAAGCAATTGATAAGTTCACCCAGACAGCCTGTGGATAGTTAACATGTAAACTCGTTCGTTCGTTCTTCGTTAGATTGTGCAGTATGCGGGGTGCGCGCGCGGGCGCAGGTGCAATTGCATCAGCTAGCTCCAGGCATAAGGTTGCATGTCAGTTCGCGTGGGCCGCCAGGAGACAAGTGTCAGAAACGTTGGAATCCGTTTTGCACACAAACAACTAGGTCGTACACGGTCCAGATGTTAAAGAGGTTTTCGTGCTTTGTTTTACGACATGTAGGTTCTGTAGTTCTTGATATGCCCCTGGCATATTCGATATTTTCCCTGATGACTTTAATAAGGGACCCTATATACCAATACTTTTCAAAAGGTTTAAGGGGCCAACCCAGAGTTCAGAATCCAAGCAAGTCCAAGGAAAACTGTCAGTTGGGTGCTCGCACTAAACCTTGCCAATTGCTCCCTGAACAGGCTGGTAAGGGTGCGGACGATGCGAGGTGCAATGGCTCAGAAGGATATCCTTGGAGTTATGATTCGGATGTCTATATACACGTGTCTCCCCACTTTTTGTTAACTACCCATGGACCTCTAAGCGGACCTGTTCCTTGACATCGAGACTTCTTGGTCATTGAGTCTTACATTGTGAATCCCCTCTCGCTTTACATTAAGACACCCCACCCCCCCAACATCAAATATTCCGGTTGTGTGATACGATGCCTTAGGATTTTTTGATATTAGTGAGGTGCGGTGGGGTGTGTTGACGTTAGGGGGGGACTAGTGGGGAATTGAGGAGTGTATCCGCACAGTAGCCTCCACACGGAAGTAGTTTCCATTCTTGCCTTCATTCTTTGAACCTACTAAAGCGTAGCCCTAAACCCTAAACCTAACACTGCAGTGGTCAGCTTCCAGTGTAGTGTTACAATAGGCCCTATATGATCCCGAATAACATTTTGCTTCCCATCTTCCTTTCCCCAAACCCTAATCCCGAATCCCTAAACCCCAAACCCATCCCTAAACTCGAAGCCCGTACCAGCAACTTGCCGAGGTATGGTGTGCTGCGCATGGCAGTGGCCAAACGTACGCAAATGCGGGTTCCGCACTTAGTCTGGGGCTCTGGTTCAGGAACTTAGAATGTTTTCGACGTGAATAGAGCGCAGCGGTATGGGAGTAACATTCAAACGAAGGATTTCTCGGGAGGAATCTGGGTAGGCCCCTGGGGTATTTAATATTTTCCCTAATGGCTTTAATAAGGAACCATATATACTAATATTTGTCAATGGGTTTTAGGGGCCAACCTAAACCCTAGACCCTAAACCCTAATATTTGTCAATGGGTTTTAGGGGCCAACCTAGGAATTGGGAGGGATTTGAAGCCTTCACCACCGCTGGGGCTAACCTCAGGTGAGTAGTAGCGTTTAGGGTTAAGGGTTTAGGGATACTATGGTACCCCAATAATGGAGAATCAAATGGAAAAGAAAATGGAAAATGAAATGGAAGCTGGGATTATACAGGGGTTATATTATATTTCAGCTTTAGAATTTTTATTTGGGGGTACTATGGTACCCAATATAGAGTAAGATTATATCCTCCTTTTTGCGGTATAGTATTTTATAGAAGGAATGTAATCTTACTAGGTTCAAGCACCAAGAGTGAAGGCCCCAAGTTTGTTGCCCACCCACCCCAGAGGCCAAGTTGGATCGATAGTCGGCTTATGGCTCACTTCATGCTCGGACCCGTGATGTTATCTTCACTCCTTGGGGTTTAGCTTGGACCTTAGACTCTTAACCCTTTGGGATTCCCTTATATTCCTATTAGAGGTACGTAAGGGTTAACCCTTAGTAGGGGTCCTAAGCGCCATGTAGTTCAGGTCACTTGGATCAGATCCGACAGTTTCCAAAACAGAGCGTAAAATGGCCTGGTCTGTTGGGTTTCTAACCCAGGTGGGCGGGAGGGCGTGAAAGCACTCATGAAGCGGATAATTTTTGCGGCGATTCCCAAAAAGGGACACACACGTATATATATATATATATATGTTTATGTATGCATATATACATACATACATGCATACATACATACATATATGCATACCTACATATGGTACGTAAACAATCCTTTTTCTTAGCTTCGGTAGCTTAATTTGAGTTTTGTCAACAGCAACTCGGTAGTCTCCATTACCATGGGACTTTTGGCAAAATTCTGCGTCCTTCTTGGAGGTGTCCCTTGGTGACAGTGACTATTGTACTTGGGGCGGGTGTCCCTAAACCCTACAGGGGCCCATTGCCTCAAAATGTCCTGTGTGTGTAGAAGGTTATTGTTTTGCATCCCTCCTATTTGTAAGCCAGCCCATGGTACCTCCGCAGCCTAAAGCTTAAAACCTAAACTTGGTTGCTGTTACCGGACTTACACAAATTTAACAGAAGATGGGTGTGTAGTAAAGAATGGGATTTCCCTGTTACAGTACTGTAACCATAAACACTAAACATAATATAGCAACTCAATTGAAGTTTCTCAACGGCAACCCTGTAAACCCTAAACCCAGAAACCCTTAACCCAAACCACGCCCAAGGCAGTTGCACAAATGCATCATGGCTTTAGTGCGGAAGAGGTGGAGGTCTTGCAGTCGAGGTTCCTTCGGACATGGGATGAGAAGGGTTAAGGATTTAGGGTTTAGGAGTTAGGGTTCTGGATTTAGGTTTTAAGGATTAGGGTCTAAGGTCTCGTTTTTTTTAGCCCCATCAATTGTACTTGAAGGTTCATGGGGCATAGTATCTACGTATTGATAACCGGGCTGATAGCCCTTCTTATGACCGTCTTAACTGGACGTATGTAGACGACCACAATTATGAGTAAGGTTTTCAGGTCAGTTATAAGTACTACCCAGTCCTATGAGCCTTCAAGCAATACCCGTAAGGGGTCATGATAAGAATCATATCTTAAACCCTAAGTCCCTAAAGGAATTACACTGGAGGGTCCATGTAGAGGAGTTTGGGACAACCCGTTGTCCGATCTTATGTATTAGTTCTGCTTGTGTTTAGGGGTGGAAAGGTTTAGGGCTTAGGGTTCCTCATCCTGGAGGAGAGTCGTGTAATCCTGCAGTCTTGTGGATCTCATTGGGTTAACATTATTGCGAATGCAAGCTCACTGGGCGCAGCAGAGCGAATACCATCAACCACCGAAGTGTGCCATTTGTCATCAATTTCCCCTAGGTAGTATTCTTGCACGCGTGCGCGCAGGTTTTCGCTGTACGATGCGGATGGCAGCGGCAGCATTTCCGCTGCTGAGCTTCGGAACCTTTGTCAGGACAGAATGCCGTTGACACTGTTGGTTCTGCACTCATCCAGGAATACACTGGTCACTGGAATGTTTACTGACTTATTCTCGGTACAGTTGCAATACATGTATGTCAGTAGTCTTCCTCGCGTTATGATTAATGGCTGCGCAGAGAATAACGCCAATCCAAATATGTTACTTCTGTAGACCCGTGCCCAACACATGAAAAACGACTGTCCTGGTGCAATCTAGAGCGGCCATTGTGTCATCGGTTCTCCTACTACCCATTTGTAGGGAAACTTCGGGCTAACTGAGGCCAGTTCAGGGGAACCCGGGGGGGCGGGGGGGGGGGGCATAAATCCTAAACCCTACTTGGGTACTTGCATAGCCGGGCTATAAGTAATGTTAGAAGCCCAGTTACACGTAGTTGTTGAGTCCCATGAGACTTCCGTAAAGGAGAGTTGATCGAAGCCTGCACTCAAATCTCGACTTGCGCAATGAAAGTTAGGACGTCGCGGCAAGGTTGCGCGGGGGTTTCACAAATTAGGGTTATCTACGGTTCAGGGATAGTACCCCAATAATGGAGCACGCAAACTACCACTTGACAGTCTTCTGCTTCATCGGTCTCCATGAAGATTCAAATTCCTAAGCTCTAAGCCCTCCGCAGGCACTCGCTGCATGCATATTTGATGGTCAGAACTCGCGGTGACGAACTGTCAAGCTACATATTGTCTACTGGCTTTAGGGTTTAGGGTCTTGAAGGGAATTGAAAGGATTCCTACTTTCATGGACCCTGGAGTTAGGTAAAACCTTATACTCCCTTAAGAAGCCCATTCTGACCTAATTGAATTGTAGCTCTTTATTAATAGGCTTCCTAACCCATTGGTAACCCCAGGGTCCCACAAAACGTAAGAGCCCCCTACATATCATTCAATAATGTAGTACCTAAACCCCAGAAGTATGTAAAATAATGGCCTTAAGGGCTATTATTATGGTTTTAGGGCTATTATTTTACATGTTTTGGGGGTTTAGGTAGTTCCATTTGTTGCTTTCCACGCCTCATCCGCGACTCGCAGCCCTAAACCCTAAGCCCCTAAACCCTAAAATCCTAAACCCTAAACTCGAAACCCTAAACCCCTAAACCCCTAAACCCTAAACCCCAAAACCCTAAACCCCAAACCCTATGAAACCCAAAAGGAGCTGTTGCCGAAAATGGCGACAGATCCGAAGTCGCGGCCAGAACTCATTCGCCTGATCAAGGAGGTGTGCGCAGTGTTCTGTAGCCTTTAGGGGTTATGGTTTTCCCTTAAGTAGATAGAATATGGCTTTGGGTATATTACAATAAGATCCCCATATACCCGATATCTATCTACTTAAGGGGGACGATAGGGTCTAGAACTTAGGGTTTAGGGTTTGGAGCTCAGGGTTTAGGGTTCAGAGCTTCGGGTTTAGGGTTTAGAGCTCAGGGTTTAGGGTTCAGAGCTTCGGGTTTTTAGGGTTCAGAGCTCAGGCTTTAGTGTTCAGAGTTTATGGTGTCGAGCTCAGGGTTTAGAGTTTAGAGCTGAGGGTTTGGGGTTTAGAGCTCAGGGTTTAGGGTAGAGCTTAGGGTTTGGGGTTCGGAGTTCGTGGGCAAAAGCAACTGTCATGCATGAAGAATGTGCGTGCGGAATCCTCCCAGCTACAAACGTAGAGCCTGCAAAACTCATTGGTTCTGAGTAGGGAATATTTGAACATATTATGCGAGGGTTTTATGGGGATTATATTCCCTTCTTCCCTACTAAGAACCAGGAAGTAAACCCTGCTGAAGGCGCTAGGTGAACGGCTGCCGGTTCACACTTTTCACTGGGGAGGGGCTCTACTGCACGGTACTGTAGCCGAAGTATTTACCAGCATTTTTCACTTAAAGCGTCACTTCTATGTATTCAAAATAGAAACTACCCCAGAGCTTATTCTGCTTAAGTAGGCGCCTTTTGTACATGACAGCGCGGTTGCTGTTGTAGGTGGACTCCTCCGGCGATGGAAGTTTGAATTTCAACGAGTTTTTGCGCTTGATGCGTTGCGACCTCATCGGTGCCCGGGGTCCAGGGACTTGTAGAGTTTCAGAAGGGGAGGGCCACGGTGGTTAGTTTCTTATGTTTAGGGTTTGTTGTGTTTAGAGTTTTGTTTGGGGTTACAGTTATAGGGTTTAGGGTGTATGGGGACTTACCCAAATGCAAGAGTTTTGCAGAAGCTGTCATAGATTCCCAAATTAGCGGGGCTTTGTTCGCGATCAGGGCCACCGTGTATGGCGGACGTTGGGTCGCGCCATAGGAGTGAGGGTTTCTGATTGCTTCCAAAGAGAATTAGAAGATCTTGCAAGGGCCCAATTTACTCGTACCTGCGTGTGTGCAGTACGCAAAGACATAGTGAAGGGAATTCAGCGTTCTGTGTCAAGATTCCTCGTAGCTCTTTCGAGCAAGAGTACTTGTGGAAGCACTTATTTGATCCACTGTGAGGTGATTTGGAGGACAGCCAAAGATTGCAGAAGTACAACAAGGACCGAAGTTGATTTTCAGCATGCAGCAGTGCAGCCAGGGACTTGATGGATAACATCTGTCTTGCTATTCCAATTGCGACTGCAGATGTTGGATGTTGGACGGGCTCCTTCTGACAGGAGAAAGCACTTGTCGAGCAGCTGCCCTTCAACAAGACTCAGATCCGGGATTTCCGTCAGCTCTTTATCGAGAATGTCGGCCCGCCATGATTTTGACGATAGTGTTGATGCAGTGTTGTCATGGACGGCAATGAGTCAGTCCGCATTGCACGCGAGAGAGCTGATGAAG